CTTATTCCCCCTGAAAAGATCCTGTGCAGTACTTTAAGTACAACAATCCCCCACCCCTTCATCCATCCATCCATCATTCATCCATCCCCTTCCCCACCCTCCCTCCATCCCCCACTCCTTCCTCCATCCATCCATCCATCCATCCCCTTCCCCACCCTCCCTCCATCCATCCCCCACCCCTTCATCCATCCATCCATCCATCCCCTTCCCCACCCCTCCCTCCCTTCCTGCGCCCTCTATCCACCCAGCCCCCCATGTAACTAAGCTGCCTCCCCAGCCCCACACCCCCAGCACAGCACCTCCTGCCCCACAGTGCTGTGGTCTCCTGTCCAGTCTCTGACCCCTCCCAGCCCCACGGAGCACGGTCCCCCAGCAATGAATGTCCCAGGCAGAGAATGGGGTGTCCATAGGGGTGGCTTTATTGAGGGGTCTGGGAGACATCGCTCTGGGGGTGGGATGGGGGTCACCACTGGGGGAGGGAGGGGCAGTTTGGGATGTGGGAGGACCAGGGTGTGGGGGGGTTGGGGTGTGGGAGGTCAGGGGATTAGGGGCAATTGGGGTGGGACAGGGGGATCTGGGTGCAGGATTTGAGGGGAGTCACCCCAGGTATGAAGCCAGAGGCCTGAGAACAACGGGGCCCATGGGGGCGGTGGTGGTGGTGGGGGGTCAGGTCCAGCCTTCGCCCTCAGTCAGGGGAGGGCACCATGGGGCTGGGAGCCCCTCACCCTGCGTCGGTCCTCAGAGCCCCTGGCGGGGGCAGGTCCAGGAGAAAGGGCCGGAGGTCGGCAGAGGTAAAGGACAGAGGCACCTGGGGGAGAGATGGGGGCAGGATGGAGGGAAGGAGAAAGGCAGGAAGGAGGAGAGAGAGGTTATTGGAAAAGAGGCGCTGCCCCCTGCCCCGCCCCTGGAGAGAAGGGGGCACTTACCTGGGGGGGCCCTGGGTCAGGCTGTGGGTCGGGCCGTGGGGCTCTCACTGGGGCTGAGAGTTTCGGGGGCCAGGGCCGGGGCCGATGCCGCGGCTGCCGTAAAACTCCACCACCTGGTTGGGGACTTCGGCCAGCACGCACTTGGCCAGCGCTGCCGGCGGGGCCTGGGGAGAGAGACGGAGGGAGTGAGGCAGAGCCAGACGGATGGAGGGAGTGCGGTGGAGCCGGACGGAGGAGGGCGGATGGAGGGAGCTTGGCGGAGCTGGACGGAGGAGGAAGGGAGGAGGGAGTGCAGCAGAGCCGGACGGAGGAGGGAGGGAGGAGGGGATGTGGCAGAGCTGGACAGAGGAGGGCGGATGGAGGGAGCGTGGCGGAGGCGGACTGAGGAGGGTGGACAGAGGGAGCGAGGCAGAGCTGGACGGAGGAGGGTGGACGGAGGGTGCGCGGCAGAGGTGGATGGAGGGAGCGTGGGGGAGCCGGACGGAGGAGGGTGGAGGGAGGGAGCACAGTGGAGCCGGACAGAGGAGGGAGCACGGTGAAGCTGGATGGAGGGTGTGCGGCAGAGGTGGACGGAGGGAGCACAGCAGAGCCGGACGGAGGAGGGCGGATGGAGGGAGTGCGGTGGAGCCGGATGGAGGAGGGAGGAAGGAGGGAGTGTGGCGGAGCCGGACGGAGGAGGGTCCCCCCGCCCATCTCCCACTCACCTTCTTGAATTCGCGGAAGGGCACGAACTGGACAATGTCGCGGGCGGCCTGCTCCCCCCCGGACTCCTGGGTCCCGTCCTCATCCAGTGCCCGCATGTCGGAGAAGTCGGTGTTCCCCACCCCCACAATGATGATGGAGACGGGCAGGCGCGAGGCTCGGGCGACGGCTTCCCGCGTGGCCGGCATGTCGCTCAGCACCCCGTCCGTCAGCACCAGCAGCACCCGGTACCGCTGGGGGGAAGGGGGAGGTCGGTGCGGGGGGACCCCAAACTCCCTCTGCGTCCAGGCCCCTCCAGCCCCCCTCCTGCTTCCCCCTCCCCCTCTGCCCTTCCCCCTCACCATGGGATGCCCGCTGCCCTCTTCCTCGCTGGCGGGGGCCAGCACCCGGTTGATGATGGGGGCCAGGTTGGTGGGGCCATAGAGCTGGATCTGGGGCAGGCACCGCTTGTAGGCCTCGATCACCCCCGAGATCCCTGCAGGGGGAGAGATGCTCAGGACTCCTGGGTTCTCTCCCTGGCTCCGGGAGGGGAGTGGGGTATGGTGGTTAGAGCAGAGGGGGTTGGGAGCCAGAACTCCTGGGTTCTCTCCCCGGCTCGGGGAGGGGAGTGGGGTCTATGTGTGCAGCTACAGCTTGGAGAAGAGACTTGCACTGTAAATAAAGTTCTGTTGAAGTTGTTAATACTTTGCTTGGTGGATACAACAGTCTAGTGGTTGGAGCAGGGGGGCTGGGATCCCGGACTCCGGGGTTCTGTCCCCGGCTCTGGGCAGGGAGTGGGGTCTAGTGGTTAGAGCAGAGGGGGACTGGGAGTCAGAACTCCAGGGTTCTCCTGGGCTCATCTCAGTCAGGGGTCTGTTGAGCATTGCCTAGGTTAACGAATGACACTCGCTAACGAAGAGAGAGAGATTCTCCTACATTCACACTCCGGGTTGTCTGGGTCGAAGTTGATGGCGAAATCATGGGAGACCTGGGAAAGGAGGAGACGCTGGCTCAGAGAGAGGGCAAACACTGCCCCCCCAACCTACTCCCCCACCCCCAGCTTCCCGAAATGTACCTCGTAGTTTGGGGGGATCCGTGCCCCAAATCCAAAGGCTGGAAACTTCTTGTCGCTGGAAGAGAGAGAGATGGTGGGGTGTGTGTGTCAAGCCAATGAACCCTGAATAGCAAATGGGACCCAGGAGTCCAGGATGGCAGTGCAGGGCTCTCAGCCCAGGGCACTGGTACCTCCCAGCCCCTGGGGCATAACTTGAGATAGCCAGACCCTATTGTAAAGGACTGTGGGTAACTTGCTACCACGGGGCTCCAGGGCAAAGGACTGTGGGTAATTTGCTGCTGCAAAGGATGGTGGGTCGCTTGGGAGAGCAGGAATCTGATGCAAAAGATTGTGGGTAGTTTGCAAGAGCGGGACTCTTGCAAAGGACTGTGGGTCATTTGAGAGAGCAGAAATCTGGTGCAAAGGATTGTGGGTAGTTTCTGAGAGAAGAGACTCTTGTGGTAAACACAGGCTAGCTTTCTGTGGGTAGTCTGTAAGAGCGGGATTCTGGGGCAATGCATGGTGGGTAATTTGCTGTTGGGGGCGGGGGTGGGGGGAGAGCCCGGGATGGAACCCAGGATGGGATGGATCCGGGATAGCAGCGCAGGGTCTCTGCCCTAGGGGGTGCTGTTACCTGTCGTAGTCCTGGCAGATCTCGCCCACGGCTGACAGCGCTTTGAGGTATTCGTTGGGTTCCTTGGGGTTGATGAAATGCAGGGAGTGCTCGCTGCGCGGGTCGCCGTTGGAAGCTGTGAAGTCAATCGCCACCTGCAGGGGGACGGGGGCAGCGCCCCCCAGGGGTTAGATGGGGGGGTGCACGCCCCAATCTGAGCCTCTCCCCGCCCCGCCACTGGGTCCAGCCACCTCACCGTGAAGTAGATTTGCAGGCCCCCCATGATGTAATCCAGGAACGTGTGAACCTTCTCCACCTGCCCGGAGAGGGTGAAATAATATTAGTGGCAATCAGCGAGGATTCCTAACGAGGCATTAACAATGAGCGATAACGACCCGTTCATCGCAGAGCCGTGGCAATGTCGGATGGAAGGGACCTGACCGACTCCAGCCCCGCCGGTGCTGAGGCAGGACCATGTAACCTGAACCCAGCCCTGACGGGTCTTTGTCGAACCGGGTCTTCCAAACCTCCAACGTTGGGGCTTCCCCAACCTCCCTTGGATGCTCAACTCCCCCGCGAGTTCGGGAGTTTCTCCTAATGTCCAACCTCGCTCTCCCTTGCTGCGGGATAAGCCCCTGGATGTCTGGTCCCGCCGTCCACGGAGAACAATGGATCCCCGTCCTCCTCAGAATGGCCCTTCAGCCATTGGAAGACTGTCAGCGGGTTCCCACCTCAACCTTCTGTAGACAGACATGCCCAGTTGTTTTTAACCTTCCTTCCTAGGTCAGGTTTTTCTAAACCTTTGATCGCTGTTTGTTGCTCTCCTCTGGACTCTCTCCAATTAGTCTACATCTCCCCTGAAATGTGACGCCCAGAATTGGACACAACACCCTGCTGAGGCCTCATCAGTGCCAAGCAGAATGAGATAAATATCTCCCATGTCTGACGCACCACCCTCCTGTTAATACGCCTCTTTCTCGTAACTGCGACACATGGTTGGCTCATCTTCAATCTGTGAGCTGCTCGAACTGCCAGCGCCTTCCCCACTTTGCCTTCGGAGTGTTCCTTCCCAAGGGAAGTACTTTGCACTTGCCTTCATGGAATTTCATCCTGTTGGTTTCAGACCAATTCTCCACTTAGTCAAGGTCATTTCTGATTGCTAAGCCTGCCCTCCAAAGCGCTGGCATCCACACATTTCATAAGCCTCCTCTCGACTCCATTAGCCAAGTCGTTAACGACAATATTGACTAGGACCGGATCCAGGACTGACCCTTGCGGGACCCCACGAGATACATCCAGCAAGCCACTGATAACTACTCGTTGAGTCCAGGCTGTCGCCTGGTGCTCAGTGATAATTAATAATGCAAATTAATTGAAGTAGAAAGGTAAAAACTCGCAACCTGTTAATCATACAGACAAATCATTAATGCAGAACAATAATTAGTTAAAATAATGAGGAGGGCCACAGTTATTAATAAAACAGAGTCAGTTATTTATTGACGAAGGTGTGCAAGTACTTAGTGGCTTGACAAGGTTGCCCAGCGAGTCTGCGGTAAAGCAATGAATTGGACCCAGGAGTCCTGCGCCCCAGGCACTGCCCGCAGAACCACCCTTTCGCCCCCTCACTCACCTTGCACTGGGTCAGAACCACCGTGCCAGAGTTGGTGTAGTGTTTCTTCTTCTCCTGGTACTTTGGGTTGATGCACTCAAACTCCATCTGCCCAGCGATAGGGAAAGTGTGTGTGTGGGGGGTCAGATTTGTACCTTCCAATTCTCACCTGCTCCAGTGCTGGGGAGAGAACCCAGGAGTCCCAGACCCACCCCCCATAACCCACTCAACCCCACTCCCTTACCAGAGCTGGGAGAGAACCCAGGAGTCCTGGCTCCCAGCCCCATCCCACACACCAGGCCCCACTCCCCTCTCAGAATCCAGGAGTCCTGGCTCCCAACCCCACCCTCCATACCTCTTTCCCTGAGGAAACCTCCTGCATTTCACGGAAGGTTGTCGTGAATTCACCAATGTAATCGTGTTTCCCACTGGAGTTATAGTCGTAAACGACACACTGGGAGAAAAGAGAGATGGAGTGATAGTGTGAGAGACGCCCCCCCTCCCCGAGCCAGGATAGAACCCAGGAGTCCTGGCTCCCAGCTCTAACCACTGGACCCCGCTCTCCTCCCAGAGCCAGAGAGAGAACCCAGGTGTCCAGGCTCCCAGCTCTAAC